TTCCCTACAGTTCTTTGTTTCCAGGTGTCTTAGGGTGCATCTGCACTTCACGGTAGCTCGAAATAAGATACACAAATCTGCATAGCTCAAATTGCGTATCTTATTTCGATCTTATTTCGAAATAGCTTATTTCATACTTTGGTGCTGTCTACACATTAGCACAGTGGTCCCCAACGCAGCGTCCATGGGCGCCATGGCGCCCACTGGGCATTTATGTGCGCCTGCCAAATGACCAGGGCCAGCCCAAGCCATTCTTGCACCCCAGGCGTGCGGCGCCTGCTTGGCCCCCACCCCCGGGCGTGCAGCGCATGAACGGCCCCGCCCCTGGGTGCCTAGCAGCCCCAAAAGGTTGTGGACCACTGCATTAGCACATTTAGAATTAAAAACAGATTAGTGTATCATATTTCTAAATTCACACACAAGAATGATACTTGTTCATTTCTTCACTAGATTGAAGAGCCCTTTAGTATCTGGTGTCTTTTTTACAAGAAGAAGGTGCTTACTCTGCATAATCAAGTCATTTCTTGATCTTTTTTATATGTTAAACAGATTGACTCTTTAAGTCTACCACTATGTAAGGGCTGGTCTACACACAAAACTAGGTTGACCTAGAAACATCGATTTTTCACACCTCTAAATGTCATGGTTACGCCAAAGACCCAGTGGAGACAGCGCTAGGTCAATGGAAGAACTTCTCTTGTCAACCTCTCAAAGAAGTGGATTTACTACAGAAGAAGCCCCTAAACTGTGGGGTCCTGTCTACATGATCCCTTTCCCGACCCTTTGGGGGGATGTGTATAGGAGGAAGGGGCAGCACGAGGTAAAAAGTTTGGGGACCACTGTCCTATGGTGATGAAAGAACCCCTTTTGTCTCTGTTAGTAAGTGCCTGCGCTATAGCAGCATAGGTGCGGCTGTGCTACCATAGGAATTTTTTCCGTTAAAAGTATTTCCACAAAAGAGCGTCTAGATTGGCAAGGATGCTTTTGCGCAAAAAGTGCTTTTGCGCAAAAGCATCCGCGGCCAATCTAGACGCGATTTTGTGCGAGAAAGCCCCGATTGCCATTTTAGCCATCAGTGCTTTTTTGCGCAAAACAGTTCTTCCCTGTCTACAAGTGGCCCTCTTGAGCAAGTATTCTTGCGCGAGAGGGCTTTTTCCCGAGCGGGAGCATGAAAGTATTTGCGCAAGAAGCACTGATTTTGTACATTACAAAGTCAATTCTCTTGCGCAAAATCAAGCGGTCGGTGTACACAGCTGGCAAGTTTTTGCACAAAAGCAACTGCTTTTGCGCAAAGTCTTGCCAGTCTACATGCACCCATAGTGTTTCTAGTGTAGACATACCCTAAAATTGATCTCATTGAAACATTACATAGTAAATATTTTTTGTGTGTGTGGAGTAATTGGTAGCCAAATTATGGGAATGCTCCAAGTCATCTCAGATTTTGGTGGTAGCAGCAAAATGCACAGTAAATTGTCTAATAAAGTATTCTGTAGGCTGTTTTTTCAGTTTTTCCTCACATTTTCATTTTCATATTCCTTTAAATGGCTTGCTGCAGGAAGTATAGTCTCGTTGGCTGCAGGTCTTTTCTTTGGTTTGGTGTCTGGTTATGGAGCATATTGCGTAACACATAATCCCAGAGATGTGAAGATATCATTATGTAAGTATTTTACGTTACTAAAGGAAAGAGCATTGGAAAATTTTAAAAAATACAGTTTAAAAAGCATGTTTACATGGATTAAAGACTGTTCAAAATTCATATTCTGTTTAATTTTTGCATCATATGACACCTCAGTCTACCTAACAGTTTAAATCAGTTTAAACTATGTTCCGTGGCGCACCAATGTGCCGCAGAGAGCAATAAATTCAAAATGGCCACCCTTAAAGGGGTAGGCGACTTTTTTGTGGTTTTTTTTTGTTTTTTTGCACAATAACTTTTCTCCCGACCTTTTTTTCCTCAATAACTCGTCTCTCCCCCCCCCTCCTTCCCCCCCCCC